AATTCGGGTACGTTCTTTTTCTTCAATTTCATAAAGAAATGAATTAATATTGAATCATTAAACGTTTTTTCTTTTAGGAACTATGTTGTACAATTTGTTCTTGAAATGAGATATCGCTATGTTGCGGCGGCGATGATAGCTCAGCTCGAAGGGAGCTTTGTTGCACTTTCCTTTAACAAGTATGGCAGCAATGTGGTTGAGAAATGCTTGAAAGAATCTGGGGAACAACTCTCTTCAAGGATCATTATAGAGATTATAAATGACCATGACTTTTTAAAGGTCATTGGGCATGATTATGGCAACTATGTTGTTCAATCAGCATTAAGTGTTTCCAAGGTTATGATTCTCCCATCTCCATTTCTTGCTTCTTTATAGTATATACATATGTTGTTAGTCTTAATTCAATTGATACTAACACCGTCCTAATAATCTAGGGTTTAAGATTTAATGTATTGTTTCAATCATTATTATTATTGTAGCAATTTAGGGTTTAAGATTTAAGATATTGTTTTAATCAATTTTTCCCCAGTATTATTGTAAAATTAAATTTTGAATGTTAGACTCAAGCAGACATTTAACATCAAAGATAACAACTACACTTACAAAACTGTTTGATTAGGATGATATCTTAATTTGAGGATTCAATTAAAATGTTCATAGACTATATATATTGTCGAGTTCTTAATTCAATTGATGTTACCGTTGTCCTTGTAATTTAGGGTTTAGGATATTACTTCACGTTAATGTACTGTTTCAATCAAGCATTTTCGTTAATGCAACTATCAACATTGATGTTAAATGTCATCTTGTATTGGATGTGTTTCTTTTTTGAAATCATTTACTTGTTGTAAAATTTAAACATGCATTTAACATTAAAGATAATAGCAACATTTACAATAATAACTGATTAGGATGATATCCTATTTTGAGGATTCAGTTGAAATGTTTTGAAACTCGTGGTTATCCGCTTGGTAGTCGAGCGAGTAGCCGACTGTTTCGAGAGACTCTTGTTCGTTTTTCCCCTTCCTAACTCTATGTTTCTTTTTGTTGGAACCAGGGGGATCTCCGCAATGCTCTTCTAGCTTTTATTCAACACCATTATTCGTTTCTCCAGAGCAATCCATTTGGGAGAAGGGTGTTGAATCGAACAAAATGTCACAAGAATCGCATGTAGTAGTACATGTGGCGATGCTATAAGGATATATAGAACATCGTTAAGAAGCAAAGCAAAATGTAATTGCTGTGATGTCTATTTTCAGAAGGGCTTTAGTTACATATGCTAATGTTGTCATTTTGATTGGACTCTCTAGGTATTTCATGTTTGTTGTTTTGTATTTATTTATTTATTTGTTCGGAATTTTTTTTATCAAGGAATAAACCGAATAGGATCAAATTGTATACCTCGTTAATATGTCCGTAAATGTTTGAAATTAGGTTAAAGAGAGAGTATTCCATGGTGTTTCCTCATGTTATCATTATAATATGTCCGTAAAGGTTAAATTTTGGATTTCGGCGGTTCATCTTATGATTTATATTTGAGATTTAAGATTATCACTTTTTATCCTGGGATGATGCTATTTGTATGTGAGGAGTTGTTGTCCCTCCCAAATATTTTGGTGATAGGGAAGTGTTGTCTTTAAAATGTTTAGAAGATTGTGTTAAGGATATTGTCCTTGTATCAGAAATTGAAGATAAGATTCTTTGGGTGCACGAAAAGGGTGGCCACTTCTCGATAAAAGAAAAATCTCATTTTTAAGGCCAATCAAGCCCAAGTTACTTCTAATTAAACTCAAATTCGACTCAACGACTTCAATGACCAACTCCTCAAGGTCTAATGTCCCTCGGGTCAACTCTCACATATCGACTTGAACAATCGGCATTACACATCAAACACTTATTGACAATTAATAAGTCGAAATAAATCTTCTAAACGTGTGATCGATCCCCTAAAAAACATTATTGTATCATCAATATCACTTATCCCCATGTCTTTCACATGAGTCAAAACCTCACTTTGATAGAAGAGCAAAACGACACATCCCTTCGTCTCAAATCACCAATGCAAAAGATCAACATCCTATCCTAGGTTTCAAAATTAGATATGTAGTAAATTCTCATTTAACACCCACAACATAGAAAGATAACCACCTGAAAATAACAACTTCATCTGCTCAAACTTCCAACTTTCCAATCGACATCCACATTTTAATTTGTATCGACTCACTTCATTATTAATTTCCTTTTCAAGACATATCATGTAATGACCTCGTTAATAATTTTTCTCTTTATGTTCTTTCCTCTCTTCTCGAATTGATAGAATTTTCTAGCACCGTTTGAGTTTCAAGTATCTACTTTGCTGTCTTTGACTATTTCCTTATTAGTCTCTATGCCACCATAAAATGATTCTCTCCAACCGTCCTTTTTGAATTGATCTCTTTCGATCAATATTCACCATGACAAATAAAACCCAAATATCATTCACTTTGATATGAGTGTTATTTATCATTTATAAGTTGTAATAGCGAACTTTCTATTTCACACATTCAATTTGCCGTTGATTTAGTTGTGTTCTTATATGGTAATCTGGAATCAGTAAAAAATACGAAGAGACTACTTAGAGTGTTTGAAGTTAAGTCGGGCCCCAGCATTAATCTGACCAAATCTGAACTGCTGGGAGTTAATTTAGACGAGAGTTGTATCTCGGCTTGGGCGGAGGTTATTAAATGTGGATGGGACAGCTTTCTAATTATATATCTCGGTCTTCCGATTGGTTCTTCGAGGAACTCGGCGGAGTTGTGGTAGCCTGTCGTTGACAAGTTCGTATCGCGACTTGATGGATGGAAATGTAAAATGTTATCATTTGGTGGAAAATTAACTTTGGTGCGATCCTTCATTTCCAATATTCCAGTGTATTACCTTTCTCTAATCAAGATGCCACTCGTAGTAGCTTCCAAATTGAATAGTCTCACTGCTAATTTCTTATGGGGATCCAAAACTGGTAGATCAGTTCATTGGGTGAAATAAGATAAAATTTGCAGCCCAAGAGCTCAAGGTGGTTTGGGGTTGGTCGATATAAGGTTAAAAAATGGAGCCCTTCTCAATAAATGGGCTTGGAGGTTTGGGTATTAGAGTAAGTTCTCTCAATTGAAGTTGGTAAAGGAACCAAGGTAGCTTTGAAAAAGACTGCTTGAGATGGGAGGGGTCTTCGAATGGCGTTTATTCTCCAAAAAGTTTCTGTGTTAATTCTGTTCATAACAGGGATGAACGCGATGAAGTGTGGAAGGTTGTTTGGACTAATCTCGCCCCACCCAAGGTTGAAGCATGCGTCTGGAAGACCGTGTTACAAAGAATTCCCGTTCTCGCTGAGCTAGCCAAAAGAGGCATGGTGAGAGAGGTTGATTGCACTTGTGTACTATGTCATAAGAATATTGAGACAGTTAATCATCTCTTTTGCCACTGCGAAGTATCTTGGAGTGTATGGTAGAAATGGTTCTCCATCTGGAATATACATGCTGTCTGCCCCCGCGATGTTAAAGCTTTTCTGTTATCTTGGTTTGGATATCCGATTTCTTCTGCAGGTAGAATAATGTCGCATATTGCTTTTTTTTGGTTTCATTTGGTCTGTTTGGATTAGTAGGAATGAGGTGATGTTCAATAAAAAAGCCAGATGCGTGGACCAGATAGTCGGGTCGGCTATGGCTTTGATTGGGTTCTGGTGCAAATGTTCTTGGCCAGACTCCAGCCCCTCCATAACGGACTTCATGCGCTGTCCAAATGCCATTATTGTTGTCAGGTAATCGTTTTGTTTGGATGGAGCTAGTACACTGGATTTATTTCTGTGATTTGCATTTTTTTTGGTCTGTTATGATTTTAAATTGCTTTGGACGAGTGGACGTGAATTGATTGTTATCTGTTTGCTGTAATTGGTTGCTTGGTGGAAGCTTGTAGGCTATATTGGAGTGTGGAATTGGTTATGGTGTGTTGTGGCGGTGAGATGGCTTTGTATGCTAGGTTGTAGATTGAAGAGGTATCTTATGTGTTGGTGTAAGTGGGTCGCAGGTTGGTAGGCCAAGTCTGATTGGCAAGTTCTGTATTGAAGGTGTGTTTGCTCGGTCTAATGGGTAGGCTGATGTTAGAATCCCTGGCTAGTTTGCGTGGTTGAACGTTTTGGGGAGCTATTGAGTGAAATGGTTTGCGTGATTTATTCCTTTGCTGCAGGTTTTTTGCGAGAAATGTCTGTATGTGGGGAGTGTCACTGGCCTGCTGATTTTGTTGTTTGTGATGAGATATCTGTTTGGTTGCTTCCTGTGTGCGTTCCTCATGTCGGTGTTAGTAATCTATTGTCTTTTCTGCCTGGTTTTTAAGTGTATATTGGACAGTTGATGCGGGCCCTCTTGTTGGTTCTACTAATCGAGCTCCAGGTTGCAGTTCCTGCTAATGTCACTGTTGGGAGCGAATATGTTGCTTGCTTATGGTCTGTTGGTAGTGAAGTTTGGAGGCAAACTGTTCCCTTTTATTCCTAATTTCCTATTTCCAGCAGTTGTGTTGATTAGCATTATTAAGTTTGCATATCGAGGTTATCCTCATCTATGTCGACAACGATTGAGTGCATTATTTTTTCTCCCGGTAGGTTTAGGAAGGTTTTTAATGAAATCCATTTTATTCGTCTCGTTTTGTATATTTTGTTCTTTTTGAATACATAAAAAATATCTTTTTTACAAAAACAAAAAAAATTGACTTGTTGAAGCTAGATCGAGTTCAGAATATTCTAATTTAGATTTGAATCGATCATAATTACTATTTTAACAATAAACATAATATTTTAGGGGAATTTAATAAAAATTCAGATATAGAATCGTGACCTTTGAATTTATGATTTAGTTACATATTACAAGGAACGTTGTCTTAAAATCTTGAATTCAATATATCCGTACTTTATTACAATTTTAGATTATTCTAGGACAGTTTTAAGTAAAGAGATACATGTTATATTTTAAAATTACTATTTTTTGAAATTATTACAAGTATAAGAGAGAAACTAAACACACATAATTGAAAAGCTAGAGACAGTGGCAATCCTTTGTTGATAGCTGTCAAATTTATTTAAATAGTAGTGCATGGAATAAACAAGTATTTTATTTAGTTTTGACAGCTTCACCATCACACCATGGATTGCTGCAAAGAGTAATTAAGCAAAGCAAAGCTCAGCTTAATTTGGATCAGAGGACATTAGTAGGGCGCTTAAGGTTTGAGCATCACCATCTGATTTAATATCTACTTGTGACCTGTATAACCAACCATAACTGGAGAGGTATGAATAATCCGCACGGTCGGGTTGAATTTTGTTCCAGATATCTTCCCAAATAGCAGGGGTACCAGCAGGTAGGATCGAGGTAGCTACCTGTTGTTGATAAATGAACTAATTATTATATATGCTACAAAATGAAAAATAAAACAAGGTAATTACCAACTGAACACGAAATCAATTAATAATATATGTAAGAAGTAATAATATTTACTTGGTTATTAGCGGTCCAAACAACGATCCATATGGCTATTTTTCCGATCGTATATACAGCAGATCCGAAAGTATTGAGCGATGTATTCTGCTCGAATACAACCGATTCGCCGCTCTTAATCACGTTAGAAACACCTCCATAGGTCGACGAAACCAACGTTAAAGTGTCGCCGGAATCATTTACAAGCTGGACGGTTGTGGGTGTAGTAGGAGCTGCCATTTGTTGTTAACTCAACTAAACTTATGTATTTGATTTGCTTAGTCTTGTTCTACATAGCTACTTGCATACACATATTTATATACAGCTTTGCAGCCTAATAAGATAATATAAATATACATTTAATAATGTCAATCAGCTTTATTCTATAGGAAAACACAATAAAACATATTATGAATCGCATGGCCATTAAATAAAACATATAAAACTCCTAGTAGAGGGTAAAATGACGTTAATAGCCTTTTATCCATCAAACTTTTGTCTTTTCTTCAATATTATTGCATCAAAATGATCTACTCGTGTGTTGGATCTCCAATCCATTCCATTAAAACTCACGGCTATCCTCATTTCTCAAATTATGTATATAGATATAATCAATATAATAAGATAATATTAATTTTATTTGTTTACGATAAGATAAGATTAACAAGTTTCAAAATAATAATAATAATAATCAACAAGGTTATTCAAGTGATAAATAGTTTGATATTACTTAAACAAGTCTTCATTTCGAGTTCTTATGTAGGCAGAAAAATCCGCATTGGGATAATCACCCCTCAAAGCCAGGTATGTGACTCTGGTCGGTCCGAATTAATTAGGACAAAACTCATAGGGATCCGGAAGGGCAACAAAAAAAAATATTAATAAAAACTAGTTTGAGGGTGTTCTTCCCGTCATGAAAAAGAAGAATTTAAAGACACCTAAAATAACATTGTTTCGGGATGATTGTATAGACCCCAAAACGACGTCATTTTAGTAGACGAGCCGTTACCTATCCCAAAGCTTGTTAGGATCTTCGTGTTTTTAAGTAAATGGGTAAATTCTATTTTTGACCTTTCCAATTTTTAATGTGCATTCGATTTAGTCCAAATCACATTATTTATTTGTTTATTGTCTTTTTTTTTTCCGTTAGGTCTTAGGCTCATAGCTAATTAGTAATTCCATATTTAGTTTGAGATTTGGTTCAATTAGGTCCTTAAAAATAGGTTAGTTGATGAAATTTGGCCTCAAGGTTTAGAATATTTCATTAGGACTTTTGATATTTAATTTATTAATAATCGAGTTTCTTGTTTTAGAATTCCTTCAATTTGATCTTCAATTAGAACTTGGTTAATAAATTGAGCTTTTTATTCAATTTATTAGGTAAAATCCCTACTTTTAAATTGATTAATAAATCTCTAACTTCTTAGTTAAATTTCAATTAGATCTTCGTTTGGAGTAATTGGTTAAAGTTGGTCTTAAGTATTAGCGAGAACTAATTAGGCCCTTAATTTGAGAGTAGTTAATAATTTAACCTTAAGTTTCTTGGTTAATTAGATAAGGTTCATAACTTGAAAGTTACTACTCTAGCATTGGTTTCATCACGGGCCTCCGTGTGTGCAAAAACTCTCTCTGATCCACCAACTTCACTCCGGGTCGCAATTTTAGAGCAAGATTCCTTTGAACAATATTTTTCAGTTCCTTTGAGCAAGATTCCGGGTATGAGCCACCCTATGGACGATATGGTTAACAATGAATGAACGAGTTTTTTAAGGTAAAGTGTTGACCATGGAGGAAATTTTCTACTGAGTGAAGATAAAGTGTTTGGAGATATGGAGGACTGGGGGAACGTTTGGCGGCGGAATCCGCAAAGTTGTCTTTTATCGCCTCAACCTGGCTTGTTTCCCTGCGTGGAGTGGATGCCACCAAAACTAGGTTGCTTAAAATTCAATGTTTGTTCAGACCATGTGGAGTTGATTGCTATGAAAATAATCTTTGAATTGTCATTGAATCCGGGAAAGGAGTCTGACATGAACTAATTGTGGAATCGGATTCGCAAGTGGTAGTATCATGGGTTACTGAGCTGACATTGAGACCATGGATGTTTCGAAACTTAGTCAGTAACTTCAATAGGCTTACCATATAGATTTAAAGTATTAGTTATGTTTTTTTTTCTAAGAACTTTAATGGTATGACTGATTTTTTTGGCGAAAGATTGTATAAAGAAAAAAAAATATTTAGAGTTTGGTGGTGGAGATTAATATTACTGTAAGTGCCGCTTGCGGTGTTTCTTTTGTGTCCTTCTCAGGACCTTGCTTTAGGATGATTAAATTTCGGCTAAAAGTGCTTACTATAATAAAATACTATTTTATAACTGAGAACTAGATGTTATTAAAGTAAAGAGATACATGCTGATATTTGAAATTATTACAAGAGACAGACTAAACACACATAATTGAACCGCTAGAGCCTGTGGCAATCCTTTATTATTGGATGTCAAATTTATTCAAATAGTAGTAGTGCATGGTGTAAACAAGTTGTATTTTATTTAGTTTTGACAGCCTCACCATCGCACCACAGATTGCCTAGAAGAGTAATTAAGCACAACAAAGCTAGTTTAATTTGGAAATGGGATCAGAAGAGATTATGACACTTAAGGTTTGAGCATCACCATCTGATTTGATTTCTACCGTTGAATTGTATTCCCAACCGTAGCTGGTGCGGTACGAATCAATGGCGCCGTCGCGTTGAAGTTTGTTCCAGATATCTTTCCAAATAAGAGGAGTACCAGGAGGAAGGACCGAGGTAGCGACCTGTCATTGATAAATGAGCTAATTATTATATATGCTACAAAATAAAAAAATATAATTACCAACTGAACACATAATCAATTATTACAGAAATCAATAATATAATTAAGAAGTGAGATAATAATATTTACTTCGTTATTAGCGGTCCAAACAACGACCCACGTGGCTATATTCCCGACAGCATACACAACAGATGCGATAACACTGAGCTCTGTATCCTGCGGGAATTCAGAGGGCGATGCACCGCTTTTAATCACGTTAGGAACGCCTTCATAGGTAGACGAAACCAAAATTAAAGTGTCGCCACTCTGATTATCAAGGACGACGTTTGTGGGTGTAGTAGGAGCAGCCATTTGTTGTTAGCTCAACTAAACTTACGTTTTTGATTTGCTTCTCTTGTGCTACATGGCTGCTTGCATACACATATTTATATACAACTTTGCAGCCTAATAAGATAATATAAATATACATGTAATAATAATAATGTCATACAGCGTTATTCTTTGGGGGAAAAACAAATAAAACATATTATGAATCACATGGCCATTAAATAAATATAAAAATACTATAAAATTTTTATCGTCTGTCCATTCCTTTTATTTAAAGCATGATGAATTCATACTAACATCAAATAAAACATTTAAAACTCTAATACCTCTAGTAAAGGGTAAAATGACATTAATATCCTTTTATCTATCAAACTTTTGTCTTTTTCCAAGGATATTGCATCAAAATGATATACTCATAGGGTGGATCTTCTATCAACTAAAACTCACAACTCTGTTTTTAAAATAAATAACGTCAATATTATAGCAAACATTAAATAGAACATAAAACTCTAGTGCTCAAGTAAATGAATGACATTTTTAACTCTCTATCTATCAAAAGTTGTCTTTTTTCCCTCTAGTACCTCTAGATAAGGATAAAATGACATTAATAACCTTTTATCTATCAAACTTTTGTCCTTTTTCAAGATTATTGCATCAAAATGATATACTCATAGGGTGGATCTTCTATCCACTAAAACTCACAACTCTTTTTTATTTAATAAATAACGTCAAGTTTATAACAAACATTAAATAAAACATAAAACTCTAGAGCTCTAATAAAGGAAAATGGCGTTATTAACCCTCTATCTATCAAACGTTTTCTTTCCTTTTCAAGATTATTGCATTAGCTTCAAAGTCTTCACGTAGCTAAGGACCTGAATTCTTTTAGAGAAAATTACTTTCACCAGATTCAAATTGAAGTATTAAAGAAGATCATGTTGTTGGAATTTGGTTTTTCTAACATTGATTTTTTTTTGCTTTACTTATATAATATCCAATTTTGTTCGGATAATTTAATTTGAATTTATAGTATTTAAGAATTGTAATAAAATCATATATTTAAAGTTAATCATAATGCTCTTTTTTTATTTCTTTATATATTTCATGTAATCTTCTATCTATAGAATGTTATTGTTGGATCGTTAATCCATTCAAACTCATGACTTTTTTTTTGTTTCACACATACAATCAATATAATAAGATAGTTTCTTATGGTATCAATCGAGGAACACACCTATATCATCTAAACGATACCAATTAAGTCCTAAACTTTCCACGGTCAGTAGTATTAGGTCTTGCGGGATGGGGACCTAATAGTAACATAATATTATGCGAATACTTAAACAATACATACTTAAATGGAAACAACGAGTAATTCATGTAAAAGCACTCACGCGTATCTCGAGTTGAACGTACGGAGTCAAGCTGGGCTGAACCGAGGTGGTCCAGATCTACGGGAGGGCAGTGCAAAGACAAATGATTACCTTTAGAACATAATATTAGAGAGTAAGACCATAAATTCCAAAATTTACTTTTTTAACATGAATATAATATAGTGCAAAGCAAGATGCAAAACGAGACTTTCCGGTTCAAAATTTGGCAAAACATACTGTAAAAATGGACTTAGGACGTAAAAAAACATAAAAGGTAAGGGTCAACGATAAAAAAAAGTCAACGATCAACAGTCAATGGGTCGTCAAAGCAACAACGATCAACTGGTCAGCTCGGTTCGGGTTAGCGGTTCAAAACTAGTTTGAGTCAGATCAATTCAACTCCTCAAACCAGTTTGGCCAATTTGTTGGAAGACTCTTCCACACACGCAGCTACAACAGCTACAACGCGTGTGGCGTGTGCGGTGCCCTCCAACGACTGCTTGCAAGAGTTGATTTGGATAACCCATAAGATTGGTAGCCAAGGGCGGAACTAGAAATTTATTATAGTGGGGCTAAAGTATTTTTTATTTTTCACAAATACAATTTTTTAAATTGAGGAGGCCTGGTATATTTTTCTTTATTTATTTAGTTTTCAAAATATATACTTTTAATATTAATTAATATTTTAAAAAATAATTGGCAGGGATCACGACTCCCCTAGCCTCCACGATGTTCCAACCCTGTTGGTAGCGTAGCGTATTTTTACTGTTGATATATTGCTTTAAAAGAATTGTTACAAAATTGGTGTTCATTAATATTATTTTGGACCTCATTAATCTTATTTTACTGTGAAAAACTCAAATTGATTTGATCATATTGTATCGATTATATGTGTGAAATAAAAAATAATAAATAAAAGAGTTGTAAGTTTTAATGGGCAAGATGAAGACGAGGAATGCTGAGAGATTCTTCTCGGTTCATAAGACTGACGGACCACGGGGAAGCACGATAAACAGGTTTTTGCTCGCAATAAAAAACTAAAACGGACAGTGGTTTCAGATGAAAAAGGACAACGAGACTATAGACACAATAGATTAGCTAAAAAAGGGGCAAGTGAGAGAAAAGAGATAATTGAAGACCGAGTGGGAGAGGAAAAATGAGAAAGAAAACCACTAGAGATTATAACTGGGTATTTATACCCTAATAGGCTTGTAAACGAACCGAACGTTTAACGAATTGTTCGTAAATCGTTCGATGAAAAATTTGTTTATTTATTAAAAGAATAAATACGAATAAGCTTTTATGTTCGTTCTAAGTTAATGTATTATAGTATAAAAGGTTAAAACTCTTCCAAAGTCTATCAAAACGATATATATGCTTGGAACAAATGGCTAAGTCAAAGTTGTAGGTGCATGAAGCACAAGTTCGGTGATTTCCTCAAGCAGAAACACTTTATCTGTTCAACTCAACATCATAATCTCAAGGTTCGCAGAATGAACTTTCAACTATCATGAGTGTTCAATAAAGCACTTTACTTCACAAAACCTTTCAATTAAAGCATCACAATTTTATTTTTGTTTAAATGGGTCTTTTGATTATTAGAATTTAATTTAGCTAAGTTCTCAAAATTTGATTTTCTTTTAATTGAGTCCTTATAACAAGAGGCGGAACTCAAAATTAACTATTGCCGAGCAAAAAAATAATTGTTGTTTTAATAATAGGAGATCCACCCTACGATCAGATCACTTTGGTGCAATAACATTGAAAAGGACAAATGTTTGATAGATAAAAGGGTATTAATGTCATTTTACCATTTACTGTTGCGGAAGATGGCTATCGGATAGAGTAAAATCGCAACTGATAATTTGAGAAAATAAAAATGACGATAAAAAGAGACAAAAATTATGTGGAAAACCCCTAAATAATATAGGGTAAAAACCACAAGCAACGATAGAAGAATTTAACTATGAGAAAATAGAAATTACAACCTCTCTCGATCTACCAATGAGAAAACAATGATAATTCTCTCTTGATAAAAAGGAGAAAACAACTCTCAAGAAACTCTCTAAATTCTCTCTAATTTTGGAAGAAAGCTAGAATGCTTTGGGATGGTTTTGAAGATAAATGAGTTAGGGTATTTATAGTTGAAGCTTAAGGACTAATTTATAAATACCCTAAATTATAATAACTAAAAAAGAGATTTAACCATTGTCCAAATTCGACCAAAACTTTTGGTGCATTAATTATGCCACCGAAAGTTGTTTTGGCACAAGTTCGGTGATTTCCTCAAGCAGAAACAATTTATCTGTTCAACTCAACATCATAATCTCAAGGTTCGCAGATTGAACTTTCAACTATCATGAGTGTTCAATAAAGCACTTTACTTCACAAAACCTTTCAATTAAAGCATCACAATTTTATTTTTGTTTAAATGGGTCTTTTGATTATTAGAATTTACTTTAGCTAAGTTCTCAAAATTTGATTTTCTTTTAATTGAGTCCTTATAACTAGTGGCGGAACTCAAAATTAACTATTGCCGAGCAAAAAAATAATTGTATGTTTTAATAATAGGAGATCCACCCTACGATCAGATCACTTTGGTGCAATAACATTGAAAAGGACAAATGTTTGATAGATAAAAGGGTATTAATGTCATTTTACCATTTACTGTTGCGGAAAATGACTATCGGATAGAGCAAAATCGCAACTGATAATTTGAGAAAATAAAAATGACGATAAAAAGAGATAAAAATTACGTGGAAAACCCCTAAATAATATATGGTAAAAACCACGAGCAACGGTAGAAGAATTTCACTATGAGAAAATAGGAATTACAATCTCTCTCGATCTACCAAGGAGAAAACAATGATAATTCTCTCTTGATAAAAAGGAGAAAACAACTCTCAAGAAACTCTTTAAATTCTCTCTAGTATTGGAAGAAAGCTAGAATGCTTTGGGATGGTTTTGAAGCTAAATGAGCTAGGGTATTTATAGTTGAAGCTTAAGGACTAATTTATAAATACCCTAAATTATAATAACTAAAAAAAGAGATTTAACCATTGTCCAAATTCGACCAAAAATTTCGGTGTATTAATTATGCCACCGAAAGTTGTTTTGGCCATGTGGCCAACTTGGCTTTTTCAACAATCTCCCACTTGAAGATTTGATTGGAACAATCATATCTTCACACCATTCTTTCTACTTTGTACCATCATGTTGCTTACGTCTCTAACAGGCCAAAAGAGGATCGACATCGAGTAAATGTATCAACATTTACCGCCTTTGTCATTAAATCTGCTATGTTGTCTTTAGTATGGATCTTCTGCATATCTAACGTCCCTTCTTCCACTTTTTCACGAATGAAATGGTACTGAACTCTTATGTGTTTTGTCCTTGAATGAAATGCTGGATTCCTTGCTAGATTCCTTGCTAGATGCAAGGCGCTTTGACTGTCACAAAACAGAGAGACATACTCTTGATTGTGCCCAAGCTCCTCCAATAGCATCTATAACCAAATTGTTTCTTTACTGGCTTGTGTAGCTGCTACATATTCTGCTTCTGTTGTGGACGTAGCCACAACTGACTGCAATTTTAAAACCCAACTTACAGCTCCACCAGTAATTTTGAACACATATCCTGTAGTAGATTTGTTTTTATCCAAATCCCCTGCATAGTCAGAATCTACATACCCATTGATTAGTAAGTTTGATCCTCCGTAACATAATGCAACATTTGAGGTCCCTTTGATGTATCTCAGAATCCTCTTTACTGTATTCCAATGCTCTTTGTCTGGATTTTCCATGTACCGACTAACCACTCCCACTGCTTGTGCAATGTCTGGTCTTGTGCATATCATAGTGAACATTAAACTTCCCACTGCCGATGCATACATTACTCGAGACATCTCCATCCTCTCTTCTTCACTGCTAGGACTCATACTGGAGGATAATTTGAAGTTAATAGGAAGAGGGGTAGAAATTGGCTTACAATTTTGCATGCTGAATCGTGATAAGATCTTCTTTAGGTAATTCTTTTGTGAAAGCCAAATCTTTCTATTACTTCTGTCTCGGTGAATTTGCATCCCTAGAATCTTGTTTGTTGATCCCAAGTCTTTTATTTCAAATTCCCTAGCCAGTTGTGCCTTCAATTCTTCAATATGATCTTTGTTGGGTCCTGCAACCAACATGTCATCCACATACAACAACAATATAACAAAATCGTTATCACCAGACCTCTTAAAATAAGCACAAGGGTCTGCATTAAGTCTGTTGTATCCAAGGCACATAATGAAGGAATCAAATCTCTTATACCAACACCTCGACGCCTCCTTTAGACCGTACAGAGATTTGTTCAACCTGCAAACCAAGTTTTTCTTTTATTTTTCTTCAAAACCTTCAGGCTGGAGCATGTAAATCTCTCCTTCAAGATTTCCATGAAGAAAATTTATTTTAACATCTAGCTGCTCTAAATGTAAGTTCAATGTAGCACACATTGCCAAAACTACTCAAACTGTTGTTAGTCGAACCACAGGAGAAAATATTTCATTGAAATCAATACCTTCTTTTTGAGCATATCCTTTGACCACCAGTCTTGTACGATACCTCTCAACTTGATCGTCACCATTTCGCTTGATTTTGAAGACCCATTTGTTACCAATTGGATTTCTTCCTTGTAGTAGTGGCACAAGGTCCCATGTATTGTTTTTATTAAGGGCTTCAATTTCTTCTTGTATCGCCATTATCCACAGTGAATCATCTGAGCTGTTTATTGCCTCATGGTATGTTGATGGCTCACCATCCTCTGTTAAAAGGCAGTATGCAATATTACCTTCTATAACATAATCTGAGCGCCAATTGGGGCGTCTTCTCACACGATCTGATTGTCGAGTTGTTGGAGCTTCAGAACTCTCTGGTTCTTGTTCATCATGTGCTGGTTCTGCTTCAGAAGAATCTCCTTGTTCAAACTCCTTTTCCACATGTATCTGTGTAGTCTCTGACTTTTCAGCGCTATCATCATCTTCTTTTCTTTGTAGTTTATCTTCTACAAAGATAACATCTCTGCTGATGACCACTTTACGGGCAGTGGGATCCCACAAGCGATACCCCTTTACTCCATCAGTATACCCCAAGAATTTGCATTTCATGGATTTTGGATCCAACTTTGAAATTTCTTGGGAGTTGTACATCACGTACACAATACTTCCAAATACATGGAGGTTTGAATAATCAGCTGGTTTACCAGTCCACATCTCCATTGGAGTCTTCAGCTCTATTGCAGTTGATGGAGCTTGATTCACCAAATAACAGGCGGTATTGACTGCTTCTGCCCAGAATGATTTTTCTAGGACTGCATCCCTCAACATTGCTCTTGTTCTTTCTAACAAGGTTTTGTTCATCTACTCTGCCACTCCATTTTATTGAGGAGTGTTCGCCACTGTGAACTGTCTTTTGATGACTTCTTTCTTGCAAAAATCATCAAATTCTTCACTTGTGTATTCTCCTCAATTATCTGTTCTGAAACACTTGATCTTATTTCCAGAATCAAGTTCCACCCGCGCTTTGAAGTTTTTGAAAGTGGAAGATACATCTGACTTCTTCTTAATAGGGTACACCCAATATCTCCTAGAGTAGTCATCAATAAATGAGATAAAATATTTTGCTCTGCCTAGGGATGTAACTGGTGCTTGCCATACGTCAGAGTGAACCAGTTCTATAACACTTTTGCCTCTAGAATTTGACATGTTGAATTTCAACCGGTTCTGCTTACTTGTTATGCAATGCTCACACAAAGTAAGTGATACATTTGTTAAGCTTGGAAGTAGCTTTTGCTCCACAAGGACTTTCATTCATTGTTCTGACATGTGTCCAAGTTTCTGATGCCATAGCATTGCAGAATCTGAACTACATGAGGCAATAGAGGCTTCTGCTTCTAGCAAAGTTTCTCCCTTCAGCATGTACAAGTTTGTAGCTATCTTTTCGCCTTTCAGCACCACAAGCGCTCCACAGAACACCTTTATGATTCCTTTCTGTGTTTCAATCTTGCTTGCATTATTATCCAACAATCCGTAGGATAATAAATTTTTCTTCAGGCCTTTCACGTGCCGCACATCTCGAACAGCTTTAATTGTTCCATCATACATCTTCAATTTGATGGTTCCCACGCCGATGATCTCTAAGGCATGATCATTGCAACAATACACAGATCCTCCCATTCTCTTCTTGAGGTCATGTGATATGTTGCTCCCGAATCAATGAGCCATATATCTGCATATCTCTTTCTACCTTCTATGGTGGTTGACGCTTCACATCATAGAGCATCTCCATCATCTGAAGCGTTTGCGATATTGCCTTGTGGATTGGAGTTTTTATTTAGACTCTAACAATCATTATTCAAGTGACCCTTCTTTCCACAGTTGTAGCACTTTAAATTCTTCTTGCTTTTAGACTTTGATCTACCATGTTTGTGACTACTACTTTGGCCATGTTCTGTTGATCTCTCTCTCATCGTTGTCAACGCTTCTGCTTATTGCAGATTTACTTGTCTGTCTTCCTTGTTCTTGCGCCTATTTTCTTCTTGTAGAACAACAGCTGCAATGTAATCAAAGACTAGACTAGTGACATTACTGTTTGTCAAGTTGATGATGAGTTGATCATACGAATCCGGTAGACTTTGAAGTAGAAGTTAAGCACGTTCTTGTTCTCCTATTTTACAGCTTAAGGATGTAAGCTGAGAAAATAAAGTGTTCAGTGTATTTAAGTGCTCCGTCACTGAAGTAGATTCTGGCATACAAAGAGTGTATAATTTTCTCTTAAGGAAAATTTTATTGTGCAGCAATGTGGCCTCGTACAGTTTGGTGAGATGATCCCATATCTCCTTAGTTATCTTCTTCTCCTCGATGCTTGACAATACTTCATCTGCTAATGCTAGATGAAAGTTTGTCATATCATTTCTGTCTATTTCAATCCATTTGTTGTCATCTATGAAATCTACCGGCTTTTCACTGATAGCTACTAGACAACTGTCTTTCCTCAGGATGATATTCATCTTCAATTTCCACAATGAGAAATTTCTCCCATTGAACTTTTCAATATTAAATTTCGTTGCCATAGCTTCTAGATAGTTCCCACTATTTCACTATTGTGAATAGTTCTCTGGAACCTTCAAAGAATGTGTAATACCTTCTTACTTTCTTATGTTGGAGGATCCACCTTTTGGTGGCAACCACAAAGACAATAAGCAGATATTACACACTCAAATCTGGCTCGGATACCAATTGTTGCGAAAGACGGCTATCGGATAGAGAAAAATTGAAACTGATAATTTGAGAAAATAAAAATGACGATAAAAAGAGACACCAAATTTACGTGGAAAACCCCTAAATAATATAGGATAAAAACCATGGGCAACGGTAGAAGAATTTCACTATGAGAAAATAGGAATTACAACCTCTCTCGATCTACCAAAGAGAAAACAATGATAATTCTCTCTTGATAAAAAGGAGAAAACAACTCTCAAGAAACTCTATAAATTCTCTCTAGTATGGGAAGAAAGCTAGAATGCTTTGGAATGGTTTTGAAGATAAATGAGTTAGAGTATTTATAGTTGAAGCTTAAGGAGTAATTTATAAATACCCTAAATTATAATAACTAAAAAAGAGATTTAACTATTGTCCAAATTCGACCAAAAATTTTGGTGCATTAATTATGCCACTGAAAGTTGTTTTGGTACAAGTTCGGTGATTTCCTCAAGCAGAAACACTTTATCTGTTCAACTCAACATCATAATCTCAAGGTTCGCAAATTGAACTTTCAACTATCATGAGTGTTCAATAAAGCACTTTACTTCACAAAACCTTTCAATTAAAGCATCACAATTTTATTTTTGTTTAAATGGGTCTTTTGATTATTAGAATTTACTTTAGCTAAGTTCTCAAAATTTGATTTTCTTTTAATTGAGTCCTTATAACTAGTGGCGGAACTCAAAATTAACTATTGCCGAGCAAAAAAATAATTGTATGTTTTAATAATAGGAGATCCACCCTACGATCAGATCACTTTGGTGCAATAACATTGAAAAGGACAAATGTTTGATAGATAAAAGGGTATTAATGTCATTTTACCATTTACTAGAGGTACCATAGACTTACATATTTTATTTAATGTTAGTATGAATTCATCATGCTATATAATTTATTATGCTTTAAATAAAAGGAAGGTAAAAAGGACAAAAGGTTTATAGTTAATGGGGCATTAATGTCATCTTATAATTTTTAATTGACATGTGATTCGTTATTTGGATTCAAGATGCCAATTAAATAAAAATGACATGGTATATTTTATTGTTTTCCCCATGAATGTGTATATAAATGTGTAAGCAACCAGCTATGTAACCCAACACAAGCAAATCAAATACATAGAGTAAATTTAGTTGAGAGCTAACAACAAATGGCTGCTCCTTCTACACCCACAACCGCCCTGCTTTCAAATGTTTCTGGCTACACTGCGACGTTGGTTGCGTCGACCTATGAAGGTGCTCCTAACGTCATTAAGAGCGGTGACCCACCCTCTGAATTCCCCCAGAATACATCGGTCGATACTTTCGGATCTGTTATGTATGCTATCGAAAATACAGCTATGTGGATCGTTGTTTGGACCGCTAATAATCAAGTAAATATTATTATCTTATTTCTTATGAATATTATTATTTCTCATAATAAAACATATAACTGATTTCTTGTTAAGTTGGTAATTACCTTAAACCTAAACCTTGTTTTATTTTCATTTTGTAGTGTATATAATAATCAACTCATTTATCAATGATAGGTGGCTACCAAGATCCTTCGTGCTGGTACCCCTGCTATTTGGAAAGATATCTGGGACACCATTCAACGCGATCACACCGAGGATTCGAATTCCACGGCCTCCGGTTGGGTATACAACTCGGTAGTAGATATAAGTTCAAATGGTGATGCTCAAATCTTAAGGGCCACACTCTCGTCTGCTCCTATACCCACAACCATCAAGCTCGAAAATGTTTGTGGCGACACTTTAATGTTGGTTTCGTCGACCTATGAAGGCGCTCCTGGCGTGATTAAGAGCGATGCACCACCCGTTGTATTCGAGCAGGATACATCAATCAATGCTTATGGATCTGTTGTGTATGCTATCGGAAAGATAGCCACGTGGGTCGTTGTTTGGACCGCTAATAATCAAGTAAATATTATTATCTTACTTCTTACGTATATTATTAATTCCCGTATTCAGTTAGTAATGACCTTAAATCTATACATTGTTTTGTTTTTAGTATGTAGCATATATAATAACTAGCTCATTTATGAATGATAGGTCACTACCTCTATCCTTCCATCGGGTACCACTGTTATTTGGGAAGAAATCTGGCAAAACATTCAACCAGACCATGCCGATGATTCGTACATCACGAGCTATAGTTGGGGATACAATTCAGAAGTAGATATTAAATCAAGTGGTGATGCTCAATCCTTAAATGCCACGATCTCCTCTTTTCCACTTCCAAATTAAGCTACCTTTGCTTAATCACTCATTTCGGCTGTCGAAACTAAATAAAACAGTATTTGTTTACGCTATAAACTACTATTTTATACTTTAAATAAATCTGATAGCCAACAATAAATGATTACCACTGGTTCTTGCTTCTGAATAATGTGTTTACTTTTTCTTTTTTACTTTGTAATAATGTTAATTAGTAATAATAATAATTTCAAAATATGACCATGTATCCCTTTACTTCATTTATATTGAGTTCATCAATCAAAATAAGTCTCGCACAATTGAACATTGTATTCAAGAACAATTACATTGGATTTAAGAATTTACATATTATTCCTTCTAATTTGTAATCAAATCATAAATTTCATTCTCAAACTTTAAGTACCTAATTGAACCAAATCTCAAACTACATGCCAAATTATTAATTAGAACTACGAGCCTAAGACCTAATTGAAAAAAAAATTAGAGACAATAAAAAAATAGATCATGTGATTTGGACTAAATTGAATGCACATTAAAAATTGGAAATGTAAAAAATAAATTATTTGATTCACTCCCCTGAAACTTCAGACAAGATTGAAACTGAATTGATTTGTTTCACATCAACGTTAGGAATGCAAAATCTAAAAATTAATTTGCTTCACTACAACTTCAAGAAAATTAGATCTACGAAAAAAAATCAAAATTTTCTTTCGATGATCCAAAAGATTTATTAAGCGATAAATCTTTGGAAATCAATACATCAATTTAAAAAAAAAAAATCATTTAAAAACATTATGGTAATTAGATAACATGCCCATGTAAATTTGACTCCTTTATTCTTGAGGCATTGAGACACTCACTTTCATTTCCTTTGTCTTTTAAGGTTTAAATATGTTTTTTTCTCACTTTTCATATATTTTTTTTTTGTGTGACTTTAATGGATAGGAGATTCGAGAAACAAGTAGAACATTTTTTGTTTACTTTTATTATAAACGAGTAGATCATTTTGATGCAACAATCATGATGAAGACAAAAGTTTGATGGATAATGTTGCGGAATACAACTATCGAATAGAGTAAAATCGCAACTGATAATTTGAGAAAATAAAAATGAAGATAAAGAAGACACAAAATTTAAGTAGAAAATCCCTAAATAATATAGGATAAAAACCACGGGCAACGATAGAAGAATTTCACTATGAGAAATAGGAATTACAATTTCTCTCGATCTAACAAGGAGGAAACAATAATAATTCTCTCTTGATAAAAAGGAGAAAACAACTCTCAAGAAAACTCTTTAAATTCTCTAGTATTGGGAGAAAGCTAGAATGATTTGAGATGGTTTTGAAGCTAAATATGTTAGGGTATTTATAGTTGAAGCTTAAGGACTAAACTTATAAATATCCTAAAGTATAGGGAATAAATTAGTGATTGTCCCTTTACCCAATTTCAACAAAAACTTTCGGTGCATTAATTTGTTTTGACTATTAATGCCAACTTGCTTGGCACTTTTGGTGATTACATGCATTTTCAACAATCTCCCACTTGAAGATTAGATTGGAATAATCATATCTTCACATCATTCTTTCTACCTTATACCTTCATGTTACTTATGTTTTTGACAGGCCACAAGAGGATCGACACCAAGTAAATTTATCAGCATTGATCGCCTTCATCATGAAATCTGCTATGTTGTCTTTACTATGGATTTTCTGCATATCTACCGTCTCTTCTTCCATGTTTTCACGAATGAAATGGTACTAAACTCGTATGTGCTTTGTCCTTGAATTAAATGTTGGATTCCTTGCTAGATGCAAGGCGCTTTGACTGTCACAAAATAGAGAGACATACTCTTGATTGTGCCCAAGCTCCTCCAATAGCATCTTCAACCAAATTGCTTCTTTACTGGCTTGTGTAGCTGCTACATATTATGCCTCTGTTGTGGACGTGTAGCCACAACTGACTGTAATTTTGAAACCCAACTTACAGCTCCACCAGCAACTTTGATCATGTATCCTGTAGTAGATTTACTTTTATCCAAATCCCATGCATAGTCATAATCGTCATACCCATTGATAAGTAAGTTTGATCCTCTGTAACATAATGAAAAATTTGAGGTCCCTTTTATGTATCTCAGGATTCTCTTTATTGTATTCCAATGCTCTTTGCCTGGATTCATCATGTACCGACTAACCACTCTCATTGCTTGTGCAATGTCTAGTCTTGTGCATATCATAGCGAACATTAAACTTCCCACTGCTGATGCATAGAGTACTCGAGACATCTTCATCATCTCTTCTTCACTACTAGGAATCATATTGGAGGATAATTTGAAGTTAATAGGAAGAGGGGTAGAAATTGGCTTACAATCTTGCATGTTGAATCGTGACAAGATCTTCTTCAAGTAATTTTTTTGTGAAAGCAAAATCTTCCTATTACTTTTGTCTCGGTGAATTTGCATCCCTAGAATCTTGTTTGTTGATCCCAAGTCCTTCATTTCAAATTCCCTAGCCAGTTGTACCTTCAATTCTTCAATATGATCTTTGTTGGGTCCTACAACCAACATGTCATCCACATACAAAAGCAATATAACAAAATCGTTATCACCAAACCTCTTGAAATAAGCACAAGGGTCTGCATTAAGTCTGTTGTATCCAAGACACATAATGAAAGAATCAAATCTCTTATACCAACACCTCGGTGCCTGCTTTAGACTGTACAGAGATTTTTTTCAACCTGCAAACCAAGTTCTTCTTTTCTTTTTCTTCAAAACCTTCAAGCTGGAGCATATAAATCTCTTCTTCAAGATTTCCATGAAGAAAAGTTGTTTTAACATCTAGCTGCTCTAGATGTAAGTTCAGTGTATCACACATTGCCAAAACTACTCGAACCACAGGAGAAAAGATTTTATTGAAATCAATACATTCTTTTTGAGCATATCCTTTGACCACCAGTCTTGCACGATACCTCTCCACTTGATCATCACCATTTCACTTGATTTTGAAGACCCATTTATTATCAATTGGCTTCTTTTCTTGTGGTAGTGGCACAAGGTCTCATGTATTATTTTTATGAAGGGCTTCAATTTCTTCTTGCATCGCCATCATTTATAGTGAAGCATCTGAGCTGTTTATTGCCTCTTAGAATGTTGATGGCTCACCGTCATCTGTTAAAAGGCAGTATGTAATATTACATTCTATAACATAATCTGAGTGCCAATTGGGACGTCTTCTCACACGATCTGATTGACGAGTTGTTAGAGCTTCAAAACTCTCTAGTTCTTGTTCATCAAGAGTTGGTTCTACTTCAGAAGAATCTCCTTGTTCAACCTCATTTTCCACATGTATCTGTGTAGTCTCTGACTTTTCAACGCTATCATCGTCTTCTTTTCTTTGTAGCTTATCTTCTACAAAGATAACACCCCTGCTGATGATCACTTTGCGGGCAGTGGGATCCCACAAGCGATACCCCTTTACTCCATCAGCATACCCCAAGAATTTGCATTTTCTGGATTGTGGATCTAACTTTGAAATTTCTTGGGAATTGTACATCACGTATACAATACTTCCAATACATGGAGGTTTGAATAATCAACTGGTTTACCAGTCCACATCTCTATTGGTGTCTTCAGATCTATTGTAGTTGATGGAGCTCGATTCACCAAATAACAATCGGTATTGACTGCTTCTGCCCAAAATGATTTTTCTAGGTCTGCATCCCTCAACATTGCTCTTGTTCTTTCTAACAAAGTTTTGTTCATCCGCTCTGCCACTCCATTTTGTTGCGGAGTGTTCGCCACTGTGAACTGTCTTTTGATGCATTCTTTCCTGCAAAAGTCATCAAATTCTTCACTTGTGTATTCTCCTCCATTATCAGTTCTGAAACACTTGATCTTATTTCCAGAATCAAGTTCCACCCGCGCTTTGAAGTTTTTGAAAGTTGAAAACACATCTAACTTCTTCTTAATAGGGTATACCCAACATCTCCTGTAGTAGTCATCAATAAATGAGACAAAGTATTTTGCTCCACCTAGGGAGTGTTTGCCAGAGATGTTACCTTCATCAGTAGTGGCATTTAGTCACACCAAAGTCAGAAAAGGCTAATAAAATATGGAAACAAAATTAAAATGGTGTCCCAAGGAAATCAAGGCTACGACATCAACAAAATAGGGTACTCAGACCCTATCATGTCCATCAAACAGCAACAAATTATCACCACAAAAGTGGCATGAAGATAAAAGCAGAGGGAGGGGAGAGTACTCGGGGATTCGGAGTTTTCAGTCGAGAGAAAAAATAGAGAGAGAAAAAAATAGAAAACCAGAGAAAAAACCCAAAGAAATTAGAAATAGAAAAAAGACTTACCTTTAGGGAGATCCGAACGTTCGTAGCCCCACAGGAACTTGGAGAAACCATCACCGAAGGTAAAAGGTTTTTTTCTCCTAGATCTAAGGTTTTGAAGGTGAGGGTTTTCGGTTGATTTTGGGTTTGTAAGGGTTTTGTTTCAGAGTAAAAATGAGAGGGGAAGGGCTAAGGGTTGAGTGTGGGTTGTTTTTCTAAATCATCGTCGCCGACTACGTCAGCCGGCCGTGGTGCCTCTGTTGTTCTCTCCACAGCGGGGACAAAGATGGAGAGGGATAGAAGTTTGAGAGCTTCTTCTTTGCTCTCTGTTTGAAGAGAGAGAGAAATGGGAAAAATGAGGGGTTTCACCAAGTTAGGGCCTTACGTTTGGTCTTATATGCATTGGTCCAAACGACGTCGTTTGGATAGGGGATTAGGTGATATTTTTTGTGCTTGGTTAAATTAGGTTTACGGGCTTAGGGGATATTTGTTTTGTACTTCGTGCCTTACGTTTTGTAAATTTTGTATATTGGCCAGTAGGCCATCCGTTGTTAATATTTTGTTAAAGTTGTACATTGTACTCTACATTTAAAAAATTTCATTTTGGTCACCATTTCTTATTTTGGGTTAAATCTTGAATTTAGCATGTATGTTTACTTTTATTTCATTTTAGTCTTTTACATGATTTATGGGCTATTTTTAGTTTTAGTACCTGTATAATTTTATATTTTCAATTTGGGCTCTGTTTTATTTGTAATTACTTTTTAGCCCTTTAACTTTTGTTTTTACTATTTAGTCCCTAAATTTTTTTTCCATTTTAGTCCTTTATGTTTCTATTTTTATTGTTTAGCCCTTTAAGTGTTTGTAGTTACTATGTTAGGGTTTAACTTTCTATTTTGATATTTTCGTCCTTTAACTTTCTGTTTTAGCTATTTTAGTCCCTTAGGTTTCTATTTTTTCTATTTTGGTCCTTTGTAATTTCAAATAATTATTTTTTGCTCATTTGTATTTTGGTTTATAATATTTATTTGTTTTCATTTCAATCCCTTATGTATGTACATGTTGTAAATGTTATTATTTTATGTTGTAAATATTTTATTTTACATCGTATTTGTTTCTATTATATTTCCTTAAACTCACCTTGACACTTTATAATTTTTCCAAAATATGTGCCTCACTATGTTCCACAATAAACCCATTTTACACTTGACTTGCTTCACTTGCAAATCAATCATAATCTGTATAAATCACAAATTTCATAAAAATACATATGTTAGTATTGTACTAACATAAACATATCCCAAAATAACTCCATAATATATTTGATACTCATTATGTATCAAAATACTTAACTCTTAATAATTTCTTTTAACATTGGAACCAACTTTTCCAATTTACACAAAATGTTCCATCACCATTTTACCACTTAAATTCTTAATACTAATAATTCCAGCATAGTATATCAATTATATAACACTTACACAATAACCCATCAATTTTCCATATTCAGACAACTTGTACTAGCTTTAAAGAATCAGTATTATGTATTGATATACACTCTGGAATTCAATTATGTTTCTTCCGTTGAAAACTAGACTTGAATATGAATCTATCCATATAAAGAACTCCTTCTAATTCATTCTTTACAATTTATGGTGAATTTTCAAAGTTGATCAACAGAATCTGTTTTGCAGAATCTGCTATCTGATTTTTCTGACCTTTCCTTGGTTAAAAATTCATATATTTTTGTATACACCTTGAAATTGATCACTGTTTGTTTTAAACGAAACTAGATCGATCTATGAACACAAATATATAAATATAACCTCGAAATTATTTTTATATATCTAGTGAATTTTCAAACCTACTGTCAGATTCAAAATCCAAACTGTTTTCTTTAACTTCATTCTTAGGTTCTTCATCAATTCTTACAATCAATTCTTTAAAATCACTTAACTCTTCAAAACCCATAAAACACAAGAATCAAAATCCCCTTCATCAACTCAAGATGAACTTGAACATGAAACCCTAGTAATATTCATGTCAAAATGTAGAGAATTAAACGTAGAACATTTTTCCTAATCACACCGAAGTCTAATTCTCAACAAGATTGCTTCAAAATTCAAAACAAGAATACCTACCTTGCAAGCTTGGGGGTGTCGGTCTTGGATGAAGAAGAAGCTGAAATTGTTCTTCCATGATTGATATTTTATGATATAATAGATCTAACACATGCTTAATAATATATCATATAATTTTTTTTATTCACACCATAGGAAATTCCATTTTTGCCATTAATGAATCTTCATAATCACTATAAACCAAGTCATCTGATCCTTATCATATTACAAAGTCAAATATGAATTAATTTGACTTTGACCTACGAAAATGCCATGAAATTTTCAAAACTTGCGTTTTAGTCACTAAATTCCACTGTTTCGGTTAAATCTGAAAAATTGCACATTTCCAAACCAAATTTTTCAACCATTTTATAAAATCCTTCAAATTTTTGTAAAATTCCAATTTGATCTGAAATATCGATTTCCTTACCGGCTTTAACCCTTTCTAGTTTTTCTTTACTAAAATTCCAAATCCAAAAATATGATTTCTATAAAACTCCACTCTCAAGAGTAAATCATCTATTTATGGAATAAAATTCTTTTTAGGAAATTTATCACTTAATTCCCTAAACGTTTTCCCAATTTTCTACTTTGACCATCAACTTTAAAATTTTCATTTTGGTCATTGTCTAAATTTTTGGGGTATTACAATATTCTTTATGGATAAGAAATAGTCGAAATAACTTACCCGACGGAGGATTGTAAATCTCGAGATTTCTTTTCGAGTTAAAGAATTTCTCTAATTAATTAATTCGAAACAAATTAATTACCTTTAATAAATGGATCATAATTTAACTTTATATTCGATTCATGATTTCTACCATTTACGACAACGTTTAAATGATCCAATACCAATTTTTTGGCGTTGTGAGAGTGTTAATTCTTCCCCACACGTAATCGATTCATGAACCCGTTTAATTGAATCTTTGGCAAATGTATATCATTTTTTGTCTTAAAAATGATTTTCCTTAAAATTGTTTTAAAAAGACATTTTTGGGTATTTGACTTACCTAACCCAAAGGTCGATGGCGATTCTCTATCCAATTTCATCCAAATCAATTCAAAATCACCTAATTTTCTAAATTAAAGTCGTAATCGTTTTTAAAATAATAATTAATTGTTTTACCTAAAAAATGGTTATGACAATAATTTAACAGTTATCAATTATATCCTTCCTGCTGGTACCCTTGTTATTTGGGAAGATGTCTGGAGCACCATTCAACCCGACAAGGCCGAAAGTTCGTACAACACGAGTTACGGTTGGGATACAATTCAGAAGTATAAATCAGTTCAATGGTGATGCTCAACCTTAAGAGCAACAATCTCTACTATTCCAACAAATTAAGCTATGCTTTGCTTTGTTTAATTACTCTTTACGACAATCTCTGGTATGGTGATGAGGTTGTCCAAACTAAAATAAAAGAAGTATTTGCCTATGCTAAGCAGTACTAGCTCTTATTTTTCAATATTGCGTTTTTTACTTTGTCTCTCTTTTTTTACTTGTATTAATTCAATTAATAATAATTACAATTTCAAAATATAACAATTATCCCTTTACATCATCATTTGCAATTGAGTTCATTAATCCAAATTGTAATGAATACTGATATACTAAATTCAAGTTTTTATATTTTAACATTCATTGTTTTAACAAGTCTCAACTCGATCTAGTTTCAACAAATCAACTTAAATATGATAAATAACACTTTTACTTAAAAATTATATCGATCACTTAATATTTACGAATCATTTTATATGAATACTTTTTGAAAATAAATCAGTCAGAGATGTAAGAATCTTACCTAAGCCATCAGTCCCTTCCATTGCCCCAACCTTGCATTCTTTGGAGGTCCCAGCCAAATCATTATCTTATAAAACATATAATCACAAAAAAAAAAAAAACAAGAAATCAATACACTGAAAATCAAAATCCAAGCATAGAATAATCATCCATGAACCCTAACTTCACTTTTGGAGTTCAGGGATTCTTACCAAACGAATCAAAGAGTCTAGATCACCTTTTTGTGACCTGTGGTTACTAATCTGTTCTGGTCTAAGGTTTTCGAATGATGGAATTTACCTTGGAAGGCTTCTTTATCAATTATAGGCGTGTGTATTTTTTGTTTTTGATGTCTCTTTGACATGATTTTTTAAAAAGTAAATGACTAATTGTAGTGGTGACCACCCCATGACGATATGGTTAACAAGAATGGACACTTTTTTTAAAGATAAGTGTTAACCGTGGAGGAAATGTTCTACTTAGTGAAGTTGCGCTTAATGTTACGGGATAAAGCAGTGTTTGGGGATATGGAGACTGAGGAACGATTCGGATATAGAATTGTGACCTTTGGATTTATGATTTAATTACATATTACAAGGAATGTTAAGTTGTAAAATCTTGAATTCAATATATCCGTTCTTTATTACAATTTTAGATTATTCTGGATTGCTTTGAACGAAGATTCGATGTTTTCAGTAAAGAGATATGCTTATGTTTTGAAATTATTATAAGTAAAAGAGACAAACTAAACACATAATTGAAAAGCTAGAGCAAGTGGCAATCTTTTATTGTTGGCTGTCAAATTATTACAAGTAAAAGAGAACTAAACACACATAATTGAAAAACTGTACTATTTATTTAGTTTTGACAGCCTCACCACCACATCAGGGATTGCCTAATTATGCAAAGGGTAATTAAGCAAAGCTAGTTTATTTTGGTGGAACAACAGAGATTGAGGCGGTTAAGGTTTGAGCATCACCATCTGATTTGATATCTACCGCTGAATTGTATATCCAACCGTAGCTGTTGGTGTACGAATCGTTGGCACCGTCGCGTTGAAGTTTGCTCCAGATACCTTTCCAAATAACAGAGTGCCAGCAGGAAGGATCGAGGTAGCTACCTGTCATTGATAAATGAGCTCATTTTATATGCGACAAAATAAACAAGAATAAAGTGTTACAAAAAATTAGTATATAATTAACAAGCGAGATAATAATATTTACTTCGTTATTAGCAGTCCAAACAACGACCAACGTGGCTATATTTCCGATAGCATACACAATATGCAATAACACTGAGCTCTGTATTTTGCAGGAATTCAGAGGGCGATGCACCACTCTTAATCACGTTAGGAAAGCCTTCATAGGTCGATGAAACCAACATTAAAGTGTCGCCACTCTTTATCAAGCACGATGTTTGTGGGTGTAGAAGGAACAGCCATTTGTTGTTAGCTCTCAACTAAATTTATTTGATTTGCTTGTGTTGTGCTACATAGCTGCTTGCATACACATATTTATATACAGCTTTGCAGCTTAATAAGATAATATAAATATAATTAATGTCATCGGCTTTATTCTATGGGGGAAAACAGTAAAACATATTATGAATCACATGGCCATTAAAAAATAAAATTCTACTGGCCCCAATAAAAATTTAAACTTACATTAATGCCCCTTTATCTATAAAACTTTTGTGCTCTGTCCATTCCTTTTATTTAAAGCATGATGAATTCATACCACTTCAATAAAACATTTAAAACTCTAGTACCTCTAGTAAAGGATAAATGACATTTATATCCTTTTATCTATCAAACATTTGTCCTTTTTCAAGGTTATTGCATCAAATCATCTACTCATACGTGGATCTTCTGTCCACCGAAACTCACGACACTTTTTTATTAAATAAAAACGTCAAGCTTATGAAGTATGATGAATTCATACAAACATTGCTCTAGTAAAGGAAAATGACATTTCTTACCCTCCATCTATCAAAAGTTTGTCTTCTTTCAAGATTATTGCATCAAAATCCTGCTGGCATTAGCTTCGAAATCTTCACGTAGCTAAGGACCTTAATTGTTTTAGAGCAAATTACTTTCAGCACATTCAAATGACGAAGTTTTAGAGAATTCAACCATCAACTATAGGAAGCATAGGACTTAATAAGTATCGTTTAGCTGATTTTTTTTATCATCAAGCAATTTTATTAAAATATGCAGCTAGCTTAGTTATATGTCTCATTAAAAATCTTCCTAGTCCTAAGTGGAGGAAAAGAGTGCATATAACCAGTAAAGAAAAGACAACAAAGGACACCAAACAAACCACTAACAATCCAACAACAACAATGGCCAAAACCAATTGTTATTCCCAAAGAAATTGGTATTCTGATTTCTTCCATGGCTGACAAAGAAACATTTTTGCCGTGTTATATATCGTTTAGCTGATATAAGTGTGTTCCTTGACTAGTACCATATTTTATGTTTCATTGTTCAATCATGTAATGAATTACTTTATGTGGATCTCCTTGAGTGCGCAACTGTTTATGTTAACGCTACTATATGATTATGACTGTAGGTATGTTCTGTTTTTCTATTATATATTACACAAGCATATATATAATTCCCGATTAATGTTGTATTATGTATGATTTATATGTTGGCGTAAAATTTTGTTTTGAGTTACTCTTTATAGGTTAACTCGAGTGCCTCTTCGAAGGTAACATCCCCATCTTGTTTCCTTATTTTTATTTTGAGTTATTCTTCGGAAATTAACTCGGGTGCCTCTTCAGAGGGTAAGGTCCCCATTTTGATTTATGTTTCCTATTTTGGGTCCATTTACGGAGGTCTTGGGTGCCTCTTCGGAAGATAATGTCTCTCTTCTGTATAATCGTTGTGAAAGGTAAGGTTGTGTGAACTTCTATTACGATGTTGTGATGATGAATAACGGGTCTTATTGTTGCTTGATTATTATGACATTTATTACATCATGCGTGAAGTATCTATGTTTTAATATTAATATTTGTTTGCACTTAGATGAGACATTGAGCTTTATAGCTCATTTTTTATGTCTTTCATTTTTCATATTATCTAGATGTATGATCGATTTGATTATCGGATGTATAATCTCGATTTTATATTGTATGAGGTTAAATATCTATTTTCAACTTCCTTTAAGTGTAGCATAAGTTTATTTTTAATATTATATTTGGTAAATATTTTCAAAAACAAATTATAAACACATTTCTTTCCTATATCACTTCTTTGATCAACTTGGTCACCATGATTTAGTTATAACTTCTATACTAGATCTTGGGGTTACATCATTAATATTATTTTATTGTAAATAAACTAAAATTGATTTTATCTTATTATATCGATTGTGTGAAATCAAAATTTGAGAAAAAGATTAATGATTTTTTGATGGATAAGAGATCTATCAATAACATTCTATAGATAGAAGACTACATGAAATATAAAAAGAAATCAAAATAGTATTCTAATTAACTTTAAATCTATGATTTTATTACCATTCCTAAATACTCTAAATTCAAATTAAATTGTTCGAACAAAATTGGATACTATATAACTAAAGCAACGAAAAGAGCTTCAATCTTAGAAAAACCAAATTCCAACAACACGATCTTCTTAGTACTTCATCATTTGAATGTGTTGAAAGTAATTTGCTCCAAAAGTATTAAGATCCTTAGCTACGTGAAGACTCTGAAGCTAATGCCAATAGGACTTTGATGTAATAATCTTGGGAAAAAGAAAACGTTTGATTGATAGAGGGTTAATAATGTCATTTTCCTTTACTAGAGCTCTAGAGTTTTATGTTTTATTTAATGTATGTTATTGTTGAAAATTCAATATTAGCCTAAATAAGTTCACACTTAAATTAATTTGATGTCATTGCTTACATCAATTTAATTTTGATGTCATTGCTTACATCAATTTAATTAGGTGAAAATTAAGTATTTTTCTCATGTTTTAATTTCAATGGTTTAGATTATTTAGTGCTTATTTTAATGAGTAGTTTAGATTGTTTCTTGTAACCAATAAATACCCTACTTGTATTTGAGTTTTATCATCCAACAATCAAAGCTTAATTATAAGCATTTGAAAGCTTTCGAGCCCGTTTTTAAGGTCTCTTGAAATTCTGAGTATGCTCTGTGGCTGCAGTTTTTAACTGATCTTCCACATCATAAAATATTTCTTGAGTTATTGCCGGGGTTATTACAACCTTATGGAGCTTCTTTGTGTTTAGATAATTTAGTACTCTGCACGTTTGTTACTCAAGCTTGTTCGGTGTAGTCAAAGCCTTGCCGTTAAGATGTGGATCTTCAAGTAGTTGGAGGAATCAAAAAGCTCAACAACAAACTACAACACTGGGCAACATGTATGGAGTCATACTTACAAGGTCAAGACCTTGGAGGTTGTCGTGGTGGTGAAGTTACACAACCGGCGACAGAAGATGCCAATGAAATCTTGCGAAAGTGGAAAATTAAAGCAGGCAAAGCAATGTTTGCTTTAAAGACCACAATTGAAGAAGAAATGTTGGAGCCATTCGGGATGCTAAAACACCAAAGGAAGCATGAGACACTTTGTTACACTCTTTTCGAAGAGGAACGATACAAAATTGCAACTTCTCGAGAATGAACTTCTATCAATGGCGCAACGCGACATGGCGGTTGCCCAATACTTTCATAAGGTGAAGTCGATATGTCGCGAAATTTCATAATTAGATCCGACAGCTGCTATTGGGGAAGCCAGGAAAAAGAATAATTGTCCATGGTTTGAGACCATATCGGGTTTGTTGCCGCTGTACAGGGATGGTCGACACAGCTATCGCTTGTTGAGTTCAAAAATTTGCTTGCAGGTCAAGAAGCCATGGCCAAGGAATGGGATGAGTCTCGCTGAGGGTGGAAGAAACGCTCTACACCAGCAAAAGCAGAGGCACTTTCACCGGTATACTGGCAGTGGATCTAAAAGGATGGTGACAAGGTGAAAATTATCAAGGAAAGGGAGGCCCTCATCAGGAGAGCATCCAAGAATCGCGGTAATAGTAGAAAGTTCGATGGCAAGTGTTATACTACGGGAAGATGGGTCACATGGAAAAAGACTGTTTGACCAAGAAAAACCTGTTGAAAGTAATACTGCTACTTCTTGTTTGAAGGAGAATAGTGAAGATGGTTGGGATGCTGAAGTGTTATTTGCTACGGAGGAAGAAGAATTAGCTCTCACGGTAACAACACCAGAACGGATTGACTACAAGAATGATTGGATCGTAGATTCTGGCTGCTCAAATCATATGACGGGTGACAAACAGAAGTTGCAAAACCTATCTGAGTACAATGGAGTTCGTGTGTGGTGACAGCTGACAACTCAAGGTTACCGATAACTCACATCGGTAAGACAATAGTTACGCCTCGATATAATACTAACCAGGTGTAACTCCAAGATGTTTACCATGTCCCAGGAATGAAGAAAATTTGTATGTGGCTCAACTAACATCATCAGGTCATTATGTCTTATTTGGTCCCCAAGACGTGAAAGTTTATCGTAACGTCAAAATCTCAGAAACACCAACAATGGAGGGACGACGTTTGGAATCAATTTACGTGATGTCAGCAGAGTCTGCATGTGTAGACAGAACAAGGAAAAATGAGACATCGGATCTATGGCACATGCGGTTAGGTCACGTTAGCTAAGTGTGATATTGAAAAAGTCGATGCTTAAGGGGCTTCCTCAACTAGACGTGAGAACAGACACGGTCTGTGCGGGATGCCAGTATGGTAAAGCATACCAATTACCATATGACGAGTCGAAGTTTAAAACAAAAGAACCGTTGGAGTTGGTTCACTCTGATGTGTTCGGACCGGTTAAGCAACAATCAATTAGCGGTATGCGGTACATGGTACATTCATTGATGACTTCTCCAGTATGTGTGGGTTTTCTTTATGAAAGAAAAATCTGATACTTTCTCAAAGTTTAAAGAGTTTAGAGACTCGGCTGAAGGAGAAGTGAGAAAGAAGATATGTTGCTTGCGCACAGACAACGGAGGAGAATATAGATCAAACGAGTTCTCTAAATACCCAGGGAATGCTGAATACATCATCAGTACACTTGTGCCAACACGTCACAACAGAATGGTTAGCGGAAAAAAAACCGGCATCTTACAGAAATTTGTCGAAGTATGCTACATGCAAAGAATGTACCTGGAAGGTTTTGGGCCGAAGCAATGAGGACTGCAGCCTTTGTGATCACAGACTTCCTCAACCAAGGTTAGGATTTGTTTCAACCTTTGAGAAACTATGGAACATAAACCTACAGTTAGATACTTTCGAGTATTTGGCTGGTATGTTATGTTTGTTCCTGATCATTTACGGAGCAAATTTGACAAGAAAGTTGTTAGATGTATCTTTGTGGGATATGACAGCCAGAGAAAGGGGTGGAAATGTTATGATCCAATTAGTGAAT